TCCGTCATCTCCCTCCCTGACTTTGACGTAAGTGGCCTCTGAGCCCAGCTTCCTGACTCCAGGCGTAGGCGGGCTGGCTCCAACGGGCTGGAGGATCTGCTGCTGCAGGGGCTGTGGGTTAGGAGTGTTCCTCTTGGGGAGGCAGAGTCAGAGCAGAGAATGAGCCTGGCTTGAGTCAAGTTCTTCTTGTCCTGGTTAAGTGGCGACTCTCACTTTTAAGGGGAGCATGCTCCAGGTTCTTGCCTTCTTGTCATCCTGGAGCAGCTGGGGAAGCAAATCCTCATGGAGGGCCCTGCCTGCATCCCTGTTCTCCGGGCTCCCTTGCGGGCAGAGAGAATTAAGGATCCAGCTCTAGCTCCTATCCTCTAGCATCTCCTGCAGAGGGGCTGAGGGGAAGGAGAGTCCTGGCCCGGGGGGGACTGGGAGCTGACAGGAAAATGCTGATGGAGTCCCCTCTCCCTCTCCCTTCCATTAGAACTCAGCCGAATTCCCCAGGATGGGCCACCACGTGGCACAGCTGGCTCTGTGCGTCGGTGACCCAGACGAGGACATCAGCCGGCAGGCCAGGGAGGGGGTTTACCGTCTCTACCAGCTCCTGCTGCGCCAGAGGGGTAAGGAACCCGGCTGGGAACTGGCACCCGCTAGACGAGTGAGACTGGGACCCCAGCCAATTTCTCTCCGAGTGACCCCGGCTGGCGGATAAGTCTCTCTCTATCGCTTTCTGTGTTCTCCACCACCCCCGCAGTTCTGTTGGGCTCTGCCCACTGTGCAGCCACCAATGGGATTGGAAGGACACAAGCCCTGCAACCAGAATGACCAATGTGTATGTGTCTCTCTCTTTCCCAGACCTGAACATCCATGAGGTCGAAGACCTTTGGTGCTGGGACTGGCACCAGGACACCAGGCTCCTCGGCTATAAGAACACAGCCAGGGTGGGGGAGGTAAGGACACTCTGCCAGGGCACGGCACAGCTCTGCAGGGCAGGTGGCTGCCTCCTGGAGCCATGCCACGGAGTTGCCGTTCTAGGCCAGGATTTGGAGCCTGGTTCGGGGCAATCTGCTGAAGCCTCACATCTGGTTGGTTTCAGGTTTTTGCCAAATTTTTCTCGGAGGGGCAGAGAAGTTTCTTCCTGCAGACAGCAGTGCTGGCCATGCACGACCCCCTGCTGCGTGTCAGCCAGGCTGGGCTGCTCCTTACTTACTCCCTCCTGGGGCAAGCCCAGCAGCTGATGGGGAACAAGGTGAGCAGCTGCATTAGACTCAGGAGATTGGGGCGGGGCCCAGGCCTCATTCCCATCCTCTGGCCATTCGCCGGCCTGGCAGCAAGGCGACTGGTGGGGAATGAGAGTGAGAGAAGGTGCTCCTGGGAAGGGAGATGAATTCACCTCCATGAGCAGGAGGGAGCCAGCTTGTCCCCGGAGCAGCTCCAGCCCAGCTCTTTAGCAAGGCTAATGAATGACAAGCATTGCCTCAGCACGGACTTCTGTTCTTGGGAAGGGCAGCAGAGTCCTCTACGTGCCCTCTGCGAGCCTCTCCTGTCACCCGCGCCACCTCCCAGAGTTGTTCCCGTCACTGGCAGCCTGGGAGGCCAAGGACTGAGGGGTGATGGCGACTGACCGGGCAGTTCTGAGGCACATGGGCGGGGGACGCTCGTCCTGCTGCCGGCAGGGCTGGACTCGCTCTAGAGAGAACGGGAGGATTCAGTCAGCAGGGGCTGCTGATCTGCCCCATTCACCAGGGCTGCCATCCTGCGGCTTCAGCATCAGTGGCTGGGATGCCTTGGGGAAAGGTCTCAAGCACTTCACTGCTGCTAGAATCCCTCCACCCCCCCCCCCCGCTAGAGCCCCCTCCCTGCCCAACCTGGGTAGGGGTGGAGGAGAGTGGTCAGAGAACTTGAGCTGTGGATTGGCGGTGGAACAGCTGTCAGGGGCACTGGGTGGGAGGTGGCAGGAGCTCCCCCTACAAGGAGGTTGTTGACACTGGAGGTCCCTAGAAAGGACAACAAGACTCCATTCTGGGAGTCAGGAGGGGGACTTCATCCCTCAGAGGTGCGCGGGTGCTGGGTGGAATTGCTGCTGGTCCCAGGTGCCCTTAATTCCCCCTGATTCCACGGGGGCGTCTGAGTCTCTGACAGGTCCTCGTTCCCTTGCAGCAGGAGGACGTCACGGCCAACATAATGAACCAACTTCACATCATCCGGCACTTGCGCCAAGTGCCGGAGGCGCTGCAGGAGTTCTGCCTCCAAGGCCACCAGCAACTCCTCCTCCCTCTAAACGGGGAGTGTAGTGAGACTGAGTGGCCTCCCTCTGAGCAGGAGAGCGAGGGCCCCTCTACACACCACTTGGAGGGCGCAGCCTATATCACCCCAGCCCCCTCGCCTGTTGGCTGCCCACCGGGGCCTCTGGTAGACTCTGTTGCGACTGAGCGGCCTCCCTCCGAGCAGGAGAGCGAGGGACCCCCTACACGCCACTTGGAGGGCGGAGCCTATATCACCCCGCCCCCCTCACCATAAGGACCGGGGCGTGGCCGGAAACATAAAAGGCCGGCCCTGCACCACAGCTGGGGGACAGCCGGCAACAGAGGAGGACACTTCGCCTGTTCTCTAGAGGCCCCTAACCCTAACCCCAACCCCAGACATGGACGAGGACTGGCCCGGAGTACCCGCTGCGGTTTACCCCGAGGAGCCGGAAGAGGCCTGGAGGCCACAGGTACCAAACCCCGGGGAGGCAGGAAGTAGCCCAGGGGCAGCCCGGGAGCTGCTGGCTGCAGAGCCCGGCGTGACTCAGTTGGTGTGTTGCGGCTGGATCCCCGCCGACGCAGGGGCAACCAATCCTGCCCCTGCCAGCGCCTTGGGCTGGGACGCGGGGGAGGAGGGTGGGACCGCGTCCCCCTGCCACCCCACCCCGGGTGGCTGACCCCCTACATGGTGCAAGGAGGCTCTAGCCCAGTACAGGAATTGTTTGTTGGCTGGTCACCGGGGCCCCGCCCAGACTAGAGCCAGCCCTGTCAAGTCTGTCTGTTTGCTGGCTGCCAGGGTTCCACCCAGGCCAGGGCCCGCCCTGGAAGTCTGGTTGTTTGTGGGGTGCTTGGGCCCCGCCCAGGCCTGAGCCACCCCTGATACACTGCGTTGAGGGGCTGACCACTTGAGCGACCTCAGCCCAGCAGCGCCGGCTCTACCATTTTTGCCGCCCCAAGCAAAAAAAACAACAACAACGCTCGGACTGCCAAAGCGAGCAAAAAGAAAACCAAAAAAAACCCCAACCACTTGGACTGCCGCCACCCGAACTGCCGAAGCAGAAAAAAAACCAACAACAACGCTCAGACTGCCGCAACCCGAACTGCCGAAGTGCAAAAAACAAAAAAGTCGCCCGGCCTGTGCTGCCCCGAGAATGGACGGAATGCCGCCCCAGGCATGTGCTTCCTCCGCTGGTGCCTGGAGCCGGCCCCGCAGCCTGGTTGGGACAGCTGATCGCTGAGGTGGGGCGGCTGCTCCACCCCCATGCAAGAGGGCGCTAGAGTAGGCCAGAATGGCTGCGCAAGCCGGCAGCCAATCAGGGAAGGGCCTACTGAGAGCCAATCAGGGCTGAGATTAGAGCCAGCCAATCAGGGCTAGGCTAGGCCCTATATAATGGCTGCCCAGGAGAGCAGCAGGTAGTCTGTCCCAGAACTTCATGGGGGAAGGTCTGTCTCCAGAGCAGGAGACCAGCACCTTGGGCTGGGCAGTTCTGCACTCGGCCATCCGGTGGCCGAGACAAATTGTAACCGGCCCTTGAGACAAGGGGCTAGCCTTTGGGGGTTGCGGTTGGCCACTGAGGCAGGTGCAAGGACTGTTGCTAACCCCCACCCCCTGGAATGGGGTGAGGATGGACTAGTGGGCACTGCCGGAGGGGCAGTGGCCTGAAGGACACTGTCAAGCGGGGAGCAACGCGGGTCCAGATGCCAACGGAGGACAAGAGACAGATGGGACACTGCCAGCAGAGGGTGCTCCCCATGGACTGAGCTAATTCCCGGGGTGACCAACGGGAGGCGCCATGGTGGTGAGTCCCAACCCCGTCACAACCGCCCAGCCCTATTGTGGGCCCCCCGCTACCCTGCAGACTCTGGTCCGGCCCAGACTGGCCTCCCTCTGAGTGGGAGAGCGAGAGACTCCTACAGGGAGCTAGTGGAAGGGGAAATGGAGCCCCCTGGCACTCACAGAAACTCTCTTCCCCTCTCTGTGGAGCAGGGTTCTTCCCTCTGCCCCCCAAATTCCTTCATATGGGGCAGGACCTCTTTCCCTTGCACCTACTCCCCTCCCCCCTTTCCTTGATTTACCCCCCTCCCATTCCCGCTGCGCCCAGGCAGAGCTCTCCCTGTCCCATATGGTGCAGAAAGGCCCTTGTGTCAGGGCCACTGGAGCTCGGAAAGCTCCACTTTTGAGGAGGTGGGGGTGGGACAGAGGCT